TCCCACACCCTGACAGCCAGGCAGCACCAGCTACAGCTCATGGCTGGAGGGGAGAAGAAGTTTCTTCTGCCTGCCTGGAACGTATGCGTGTTTCTGCTCCATGCTGAGCATATAGGAAGAAGACCCAGATGGACTGAGATGAGGCTCTCAAGGCCACTCCATGTGTGGCCATCTCCACTCCTAAACTCTTCAGAGAAATGAACAGCTCAGCAGCAGGGAAAAACTGAGATAATCTCAAACTTCCCAGGCCCTATATACCAAGCCAGGGCGGAAGGGGGGAAATCAGGAGTCCCAACAAGAACCGCCTTATCAGCTGCCTTCAGAGAGGGATTCTCTCTGAGAACAATGAGGTGCGACTCTTGACCACAGCGACAGCACGAAGTGTGTAGGAAAAGAGAGCCTCACCCTGTTACAGTCCTCTAGAAAGCTGGGGATATCACTATCTGTTGGCTGAAAGCTGATGAGATCTGAGTGCCCTTCCTCCTCCATCAGCAGAAGCCCCTCCACGTCATCTCGAGAAACTGGAGCAGAGAAAAACAGTACAAACAATAAGCGCAAACCTGCCTCTGCCACCTCTGTGACACACCCACGTGGTATATTCACATGGCACTGCAGAAGCCAGGAAACGTGAGGCCTGGTTTTTCTAGGTTAGCTACACTTAGATCCCACTCAGTCATATAAAATGCAGTATTTTTAGATGACTAATCTGCTCAGAGGTAGATATGTGAGCCTAGTCTCTGCTCTTCTGAGACATGACAGTTTATCTGCTTGGCTTTCTTTCTTCTTCCAGGGGAAAAAGAGAGTGAACAAATCACACTTGAAGTGAGGGAAAAGAGTAACTCACAGGCAAAAGAGTGACCCTCAGTGGCTTGACCAGGGCCCCAGCAAGAATCAGAAATGTAATGAACAGTTGTACAGTCATGACTGCTGCTGCACAGAGGGATGTTTGTTTGCAACAACTGCTTCCCTGACTGGGTAGAAATGCTATAAATGTACAACTCTCGCTCACACATACACACACCTCAGGCCCATCCAGTTTTGTGCTCAAAGCTCTGAAGGATCAGGTATCTGGTGAGGACACAGGAACCTATGAACGGGTTTAAAAGAACCATCCAGGAAACACGTGGCATTCAAAGTGGCTTAGGCGCAGTTCTCTCACCCTGATGTAGGTCATCATGCAGAGAGCCAGCGTGGCTGGGGCTAGAGGGAGGGATCTCTGAGCCAGGCACATCACCATTGGGTGTTAAAGATATGTGGCAATTCCAGCCAGTCTCAAGACCCATCTTCTCAGCAAACACCTGCAGCAGAGCAGACAGAAGACTTTAGTGTAGCTGTCCAGGCCAGAGCTTTGCAGAGCAACGCCATATTGGAGCCTAGGTACCTTCTGGACCCATTAGCTAGCTGAATCAGATTAACCTTAGATTGCACTGGAGCTAAACTCTCCCGTCAGACATGCAGGGGACATGCAAGTTCAGGAAGTTCAGCAAAGACAGCTTACCTTGCTTTTGAGCTCATCTTCCAAGGAAAAGTAGACAAAACGAATGCAGGCATTGACCAATCCATCAATGAGGCGGACAATGTCAAGACGGGCCTGATACTGAGATGAGACCATTCCCATGAAGATCTGTCCGCTCAGAGCCTGGATACAATCTTCTTTCTCCATCACTTCCCCAATCCCTTCTTCAGGCATGCAAACAACACGCAGTCACATTGAGACACAGGTGGCCATACATGCATGCAGACACGAGCACACATGGTGACAGAGACCACCAAAGTAACACCACGGGGACAGTTTCCAGATACACAAAACCATGCAGACAGACAGACAGACACACACACACACACACACACACACACACCAGGAAAAATGAAGAGACATGCATTGTCCCAGCATACCCAATCCCAGAAGCAGTTTCAGAACATCCCCACATATACGACCAAGAATACAGGTGTGAAACAGGGAGCATGGAAAGGGAAAAGACAAAACAGAAGACGGGTCAGTCACAAGAAACCAGGGCAGAAAGGTAAAGGATATATGCTGCATAATGTTCACATGTGCATTTTAAACACATCATACTGTGCTTAAACAACATGAGGAGTCTGGCTGAGGCAGACAGGCATCTGACTACAAGGAGCTGATGCAAAGGAACTGGAACTGGATCGTGTTCCCTCCAGTAACACTGTCCACAGACTCCCAAAGAGTCTGCCAAAGACTGGCTGACAATATTCTTTCACCATCACCAGATCAGCCTGTGGTGAATGGGAGCTGGATGCAGCATGAGGAACAATATAACAAAATAGTTCACACAGTTACAAAGCTCTCTGCAGGTAAGACTGAAAAGTGTTTTGAAAACACTCAGTCATAACTGCCTCCCATCTGTCTGAAAGCATGTTACTCCCGTTTTACAGAATGGGAAACCAAGGTAGAGAGAGGTCAAGGCTGGTTTTTCAAAGGAGCCTCCTGGGGTTATGTAATGGTATGTGCTTGTTGCTCAGTTTCCATTGCTGTTCTGGAGGAGATGTTGTACAATTTGAGTTCTACTGGGAATCAGACCCTTCAGCCCAGCAACAAAATCCATCAAGGGAGAGCAGTCGCATACCATTAGGCATTTAACTCCTTCGAAAAAAACCAACATATGCAATTTCCATAAAACTAGACAAACAGCAAGCCAAGCATCCAAATACCCAGAGGTCTTAAATCTACCTCGCCTGCTTTAAAGAACAGACTTCCCACAAGTAGAAGTATTTCTCTGCAAGCTTCAACAGTTTAACCAGAAACATACTTGCCAGCTGCTAAATCATCATTATTTCCTCTGGAATTGCATCTACTTCAGAAGAGCTTAGTTCTCCATTTCCATCTGCTGCTGACAACGTTGTCACAGCTCTAGACCGATCAGAAAGCAAGCACCTGGCCTAGCAGCAAACGTTATTACAGACACCAGAGGAGACACATACCATCCGAACTCCAGCTATTCCTCCGACTGCTCTGTTTGATGGGGGTAGTCCCAGGGAGATCACAGCATGTGAAGATAGCACTCTGTCCAGGGACCTGCACCAGTTCTATGCACTTGCCATTGAGCTGGGAGGACAAGGCACAATGCATTGGCTTGTATGCAAAGGCAGAACAGTATCCTGAGAGGCAGGCCCGCTGGTAGAAATCTAACACCTTCTTCCTGTGTAGAAGAGACAAAAATCAGACAAAGCTGGAGAAAGGTGTTGCAGTTCTGACAGTGTACACTGTATTCATTGTAGAAATCACCAACTGGATATTTGGAAAAATGTATTCTGTGGACAGCAGTCAGAGACTCCGAAAAACCCTTTCCGTATCGTTTCTGCATCCTCTAAGCTGCAGGCGCTAAAAGGCAATAAAAATACATATTCCAGCAGGGGTAGTGGTGAACATTTCTGGTTGCTCATCAGACGGATCAATGAATATGAATGCAGTACTCTTTGAATACACTTATTAACATAATATGCTCTATATGGCTGCCAGATGACTCTAAGGAAGTTCACTGCATGACAGCAGAGGCTTAATTTATCAGAGAGAAAGTTTATCTGCAGGAAAATAAACACCAAGGAAGGAACTTATAACCCTGACAATACTATCCATGGCAGAGATACTTAAAAAACCGACTATTCTCCCATCCCCCTTTATAGTCTGGGTCCCAGGTACTGTATTTGAAGTCTCCAGTTAGTCAATATTCAGTCCCTGGAATAGTGTAAAGTTCCTTCTCTGTGTTGAACTCACAAAGGTAATATATTAGACTGAACATGCGATTTTTTTCCTCAGCGCCAAAAAAGGACCAGTTGGAGTTTTATCACACCTGAGGATAAACAGATTTAGTAGGACAATGTGCTACTATTCAGTGAAGCCAGATATTACTGGTCTGCTCAGCTAGCAGGACCATAAATCTAGCCTATACAGGAAGATGCGACAGACACTGTCAGGCGTCACAGCAGGACTAAAAGGATGCAATGTGGTATGGTGGATTGGTTTGAAGCTACCAACAGCAGGTACAATTGATCACTTTGCATTTTATGTAAGATAAGGCATTTCTTGAACAAACAAAACTCCTTGCCATCAGCATATGACCTGATTAGAATTCATGGTCCTCCTACATGGTATAGTCAGGTTCCGTTTACAGGGGATTGATATGTTAACAGATACAGTAGGAAATGCTTTGCCGTTACAGTCCAAAAGGTTGCTTGTAGCTATCTAATCCTTTACATTGCCATGCTTATAAAAAATGATTATAAGCAGAGATTGCTCATGTTCATAACATACTTCAAGCTTCTGTTAAATAGCTTAGCAAGCATCAATAAAGGGAATTTTAATACAGAGTGACCAGGTTCCTTCTGCAGTTCAGCAGCAACTTCTGAATGCACCAAACGACAAAGCTGCCTACCTGTCAGAGCCAGAGAGGGGGTAGATATCAGTGCCATCCCAAAAGTCTGTGCAGGCCTCAAGGATGATGTCGGCTGTCCCATGAGAAAACATCTGCTCAGTGCCTGAAGTGAGAGAGAGTAATGAGTCAGCATCACACCTACAGGCTCCCAAGCAAGGGATTTCATACCAATTGCTCCTTTATTTGTTAAAGCAGAGCGTTCCCACGAACTGCCTTGATCTACTCCAGATATCCCCTTTTCTCTGTTGAGAGTTTTCAGTCCCTGTCAAGAAATTATTCAAGACTGCATGTGTTCAGCTGCTATTTGTCCAGCCACGAGTTTAAACAGCTTAGCCAGGTAGTCAGTTCCTATTCTTCCCTTTCACTGTGTAACAATCCTCCTCCTACAGAAGGTGGGGGCAAATCTTGCCCCTGTATCCAGTACAACAAAAATGAAGATATTCTTGTGTGCTCCCTCTCATGAGGGTATAAGCGCCAGTGATGAGACTATAGGCATCAAAGTCTGCCTACACAGGAAAGTGCATTCAATTTTAGGCTGGGACTGGATCTAAAGGGCAACAACGATTCTTGAATACCTTCCATTTACATAGTAGAGGATAATTTAACAGTGTGATCCGTTAGATAGCAGCCTGTTTCACAAAGGGTCCTGAAAACCAGTTAAATCGGGATGGGTCAAAAGTTCAAAACAACAGACTGTAAAAGAATAACTCATGTCTTGACCAGGGGAGGAACTGAAAATCAATGGACTCCACAGCTTGTTCTATTTTTACTTCCGTTACTTTATTCTTTAATACAGACTTCAACCTTTAATTCCTTCTTGTAGGCTGGGGTGTTGCAAAGGGTCTCCCAAAAGTGTGGGATGATACTTGTCTGATGCAGGACCCAGGCACAGGATACAAGGCAAAGGATGCGGGGCTGCCTCCCCTCCACACTTCCTGTTCCCTTTTATTCGTGCTGCTGCATTAACATTGCATGCACATAGACTTCACTGTCTAGGTTCCCTCCTCCAGCTGCTCTGTGACTTTGCCCCCAACAGCTTCAAAGCTGATCTAATGAAAAAAACATCACTGCCAAGAAAAATGAGCCCAAAGGCTTCTTACAGGCACTGTTGCTGACTGCAAATGCTCACACTAGCTGGTGAAATCAAGAGCCAAGAATACCCACTAGCATAAATCAGGCAGGGACCTTCAGGAACACTGGAGGATTTTCCAAAACACAGCAGCTCTCTGCTTTCTGCTATAAATAGACATCACACGCCAAGTTTATCAGCATAACAAACCTCCAAAACCAATAGGAGCAGTGTGTGAAAGAAGGAGCTTGTTTCAGGGACACAAAGGAGTACTTGTCTGGGGCTCTGGTTAATTTTATTATATAAACACCTTGCTTTCCACCTTGCTCCTATGGTCAGATAGTTCTTGCTAGGAAAGGAAGAACAAGAGATGTTCATTGATTCATGCAAAGCCCATGCCCTGGACACAGAGCAAGAGCTTGCAGATGACCAGGTGCAAACACATACATACATTCATGCCTGAAAGCAACTGCAATCCATTTCTCTCATGATTCCCATTCAAAGTCAACAGCATCCCACGCCACAGTCCCTACAAGGGGTAAACGGCAGTGACAGCACCTGCTACAAACTGGAGGGAGCGCATTCAGTTGTCATTGCCAGCAAAGTCAGCTCTCCCCTCCCTAAATGATGAACTAGAAGGCCAGGATTTCTCTGGCACAAGGGAGGGAACCAATGAAAAAGACTAGGAGGATGACTATCCGTTCACAGCTGCTGGGACTCACTAGAAGGAACTGAGCTGTGCAGCTACAGCAAGGGAAGAGAGAGAATATCAAGTCATTTTACTCCACTGACGACACCGATGAGCTCCTACTTCCATGTGGTTATTGTGGATGGGGAAACACTGCCAGATGGCCAAGCACATATTTCAGTGGACTAAACAATGGAATATACAGATATGTTACCTCCTATTTCTGCTACAGCTGTAGAATTTATTACATATCTCCCTTTGACTTCAGCACATCATGGGAGTGGGTGGGTTCAAAGACTTATTCACAGGTATTAAATCAGGAGAGGTTAGTTATGATCATCTGGTCTGCTCTTCTACATAAACACGGCTGTTTGATTTCACACAATAATCTCTGCATAATCCATTACATCTGTCTGCATGCATTTTACATAGCTTCAAGGGACAAATTGCATCATTATGTGAAAGGTGTTCCAATGGTTAACTAACCTCACCAGTAAAATTCCTCTTACAATTTACTCTAGACAGCATAATCCAGGTCACACACGTACTCGTCTGAGCTCCAGCCTCTGAACTAAACCATTTAAAAATGAGGATAAGGAGTTGAAATGAGGCAATGTTAAAAGGTCTGCTCTACACGGAGAATCTCGGCAGTGGAAAAATTCTTGCCCAAAAGGCAAGACAGCAGCAATCATAAGAAATGAAGCTCCTTCTCAGATTAAGACACGAGTTTAAGAAGAACTGGGCAAGAGGAGACAGTTTATTTAGCAAATCCCTGGCCAACATATTAACCATATTTCAGATTCAATACAGAACACATGCCAACTCCAGAGACCCAAGATCAGTCGATTATCGTATTACTAAGAGACTAAGAGCTCTGCCGGGCAAGCTGTCAAATCTTGCTGAGGTGCTTTAAGACCTCACCACGCACATCTCTTCCATCCTAGCCCACTCCCATTATAATAGAAAGAAGTAGAAGGAATGGAGAAGTCAGCATGGCCTCAAGTGTTGCATTCATGGTGTGGTGTATTAGCTTAGACTAACAAGATAGTGATTTGTAATCTTGGTTGTCAGATGGATGGGCAACACTAGCGAAAACCCTGGGCAATATTCAGCCATGTGCAGTATCAGTTTCTCTGCCATAATGAAGCCTATTCAAAACCCAATTAAAGAATTACCTTGTTCTACTCTTGCCATTTGGTCACAGAAAAGGTAGCATAGTCAAACAGGTTTACTACACACTATCTAGGGCAATTTACAAAGATTATTTATGATCCTGGAGTGAGCCAGAGCTGGGAAGAACTGCTCCCTCAGTATGCCCACAGTGCTGACCGCTAAGGTTTGCTGAGCATAACTGTATTGGCCACAGGCAGAGAGCACTGCTATCACCCCATAGGGACCCTGGATTGTTCCAGTCTGGCATTTCCTAGGCTCCCTATGGAAAAAGTCCTTCCCTCCTGAGCTGCATGCCTGAAGAAGAGGCAGCCTTACTGGTAGTGGTGTCCTTCACAAACAGGTTAATCATGTGACTCAGAGGTGGTCTCCTCTTGGTGATAGACGAAAGCTTCCCCAGGATCGTCTCCTTAACCACCTCATCACTTGGCAGGCGGTATAAGGCCAAATAGTTCTCCTGCTTGAAAAGGTCTTTGGCACCTGGCGTGAAACCTTAAATACGAACACGAAGAGGAGAAAATAAGGCTGTAACCAAAGCTAAAGATAAGTCCTCCCTCCCGCTTCCACACCCTCCACTTTGCTTGCTCTCATTCTGACATCTCCCCAGCAGTAGATGGGTGAGCTGTTCTCATTGTGCGTTTACACCAAGATGGTTCAATATCTATGATGAAAAGCATTCAGAATGACTAGATTTTATTAGTAATGACAGCTTTCATTCTTCTGGTTCATTGAAGAGAGGAATTGTGACACTGAAGAACAGGCACAGAACAAAGTTCAAGAGCTTTCAAAATTTAAGCCTAGCGTTGCCTCTGACCTCTTATCTCCTCTACACCTCAGTTTTCCCATCTATAAAATGAACTGAGGTACCTCATATCATCTATACTCAATCTCCTGGTAAAGCATTACTTTAAAGACAGGTCAGCTATCTGTCCATTAGCAGCATGTTCTTTGTCTATCGGTAAGACTGGCAGACTCAAGCCAGAAGAAAACCAAACCTAGCCTGGGCCTGGCTGGAAGCATCCTTGATGAAATGTGTTCCTTTGATAGCATATACAATACGTGAACTTGCCAAAAGCAACTTCTGCAATAGACTCTGTTGGCAGCCCAAAAACAAACGAGTCAGTTTTGTAATTCCAACTTCTCGGCAATCAGGTCTGGAGAAATATTTCTCGTGCTCTCTAAGGATTCAGTCATTCCTCTGCTGACAGCTCTGATTTCTCTGTGTCCACTCATCCTATTTCTCCTTACCTATTAGCCTGGCAAGCTCACAGAGGCCCCAGGGCACATGGACAGGCAGCACAGCATTGTGCGTCTCCTGCAGGGCAATGTTGCAGAGGTGGTCAGAGAAGCGGCAGAGACGCTCCGTCACACTGGCATTGCAGAGATTGAGCAGTACGTTCAGGCCCAGAGGCTTGAGGGAATTCAAGTGCATCTGCCAGTTGGAATCATCAAATTGGATGCAGGAGGGGTTCTGTTGGTCCTGGGACAAGCTAAGCATCTCGAGGTGGTAGTCACACACAAAGTCTTCAGCTTCACAGGCCAACACCTCACTGTCACCACCAGCCTGGTCCAATGGGTAGGAAAATTCTAGTTGGTTACAATGAATACAGCTTGTCTTCCTGAGCCTATAATCCCAGAGCATTCCCAATTAAATTCCCAGTTAAAAGGGGAGACTCCACAGGTATAATTCTGTCTTATAGCCCTACAAGAGACTAACTGTGCCCCTTCTGTATGGCTTACCTGAGTATGATCCTCCTCTCCACCCTCCGTGTCCTTGCTAAAACTCACATTGGACCCAGAGGGGTGCTTGCTTCTGCTGTTTGGCTTTCGGTGGGCATGGGCATCGGGAGCTTTTGGAGGGTCACTAGACCAGTTGTTCCTCTCTTGCTCATTGGTGACATGGACTGTGTCTGCCAAGGGGCCAGAGAGCAAAGCATCTCTTTCATGTGGCTGCAAGAGATCAATGAAACGAACGGTGGTGATTCAGTGGTTAAACATGAACCACTATTTATTCACATGCAAAAATGTACTGAACTGGGGACAGAGAGAAAGGGAAGAGGAGACACTGCCTTGGGACTCCTGTAGAACAGGATCTGGTCCTCACTGCTTCTTAATCTTTCAAGTAAAGAATTATGGCCACAGGACTCCTCTACAAGCAAAGCCACCTTCTCTATGCAACCACAAACCCCACAGTTCAGGAACCAAATTCAGGAGCCTAACAAGGCTGTGTTGAGTATGACAGCCAAACTACGTTTAGAGCCAACACACTACGTTATGCATTATACATCCCTCACCTCTTCTTCCATCTCAGGGTGGCAGAAGGACCGTGTAGAGAGCTCATCAGTCAGGTCTTCGTGGCTATCATGAGGTGGTTCCACCTTCCCACTGAAGAACAGAACAGTCTCTGGGCTGGGGTTTGGCCAGGAGAGAATCCCCTGCTTGTCTACACAGCAGAGCACCTAGAACGTGCCGCAACACCCACAAGAGAGCAAAATCTCAGTGAAAACATGTCTCAGTGTTTATGCATAGTTATAGATACTGAAAAGTTTAACAAACACAAGGGAGGACAGACAAGTCCCTTCTCCACCAACTTTCTGCATTAAGAAACTGCATCTAATGTCTCTCCAAGAAATGGAGAGTTCCCTGCTCTAGCAGGATTGATCGGTTGTTTAATACCAGTTTTATCTCAGGCTATTGTAAGATTAGGCATTAAATCCATGGGAAGGAAGCAACTGGTGAACCTGTTTCACCAGCTAGTACCTTATTGTGACCAGAACCAGCTGGTACTCAAACAGGAGTCAAGGGGGTTGTGGAACCACAACCAGAGCTGGAAAATACAGACTTTCTGCTAGATGCCCTAGAGTATCTCTAACGATTGTTTTTGCCTTTAAATATGCTGCTTGGATATGACAAGATAGTTGTAAGCTCTTCTATAAAGAGAGGTGCCTGAGAGGTCTCTACTCCCAGCATGGTGAATTGATCACTAATAGTCTGTGCCTAGGGAAGGAAAACCTGAATGAAGCAAATGAAGCACTCATGCAGGGCTCCTCCTTCTTACAACTCAGCAATACTCACAGTGACAGATCCCAAACTATGGAGCAAGCTGGAGGTGAAGCTCAGAGTCGGGGATTTGCCTTTCAAAACACATAGGAAGTGGCTCCAGATACAGCGTATCATTTCCTGCCAAGGAAAGCGAGGACATCAGACAATTAAAAACTCATTGAAGAAAGATGAGGGAAGGGAAGGAAGGAATTGAGTATGACATTACCTGCTTTCAGGTTCAACACAGTGATACACCGCGAGATAAAGGCCTGTCTCTCTGAGACCTCGTTAACTGGTAGGGCACTGATTTTCTCAAGGGAAAGACATTTCTTCCCCTTTCAAAAGGATGTGAATAGACTGTCTAATTGCTGAATTGAGAATCTGCTGAAGCCATCTTTGTCTTTCTAAAAAGGCAGGAAGAAATTCTGAAGGGATTTCATTTGGGGTGAACCAGTTGTTACCTCCCAGTATTTTTTCCTAATAGAACTCTCATCTCCTTGGATAAAAGGGCTTGAGGCCTTGCCCTAAGCTTTTGATCACCACACTGCAAATTGGGTAAACTGAGTCACTGTGATGAAGTGGCTTGCCCAATGTTACTTTCCGAGGCAGTTTCAATGTAGGAAATAAAGCTGGGGTGTCCTGACTACTTCATCATTACAATTTAATTATAATCAATGTGGTAAAAATGTGAAAGAAGGGGAAATTTTGCAAAATTAGAAAATCATGGTGGCACTCTTCAACTTCTACATGAAGATGTTTCAGAGAGGGTCTGGATGCTATGAATCAATCCAAACACCAGAGCTAGGTGTTTTTCTCTGTGTACTCCTAAAGCCAGCAAAACCAGATCTGCATTATTATGTTATTTTACTGCTTTTCAGCTGCCATTCTGGAATGCTATCACTGCAGAGCACTCCCTTCAAAACTCATTATATCTAGCTCCTTAGATCCTAAAGGCTGGTATAGTCATATGCTCAAATACAGAACAGTCATGAGCTACAACCAGAAGACAAACATTCTTGTTTAAACCAGACAGTTTCTTGCAAGCATAAATGTTGCTTAGGTACAGAGGAAAGAAGCAGATCTTTTCAGCCAGGAAGGTCAGCTCAAATCACTCCCATTTAACACCTGAAAAACAGCTCAGCTAAATGATGGACTGGCACAGGAAGACAGCAAAATATTCCGCAAAGAAAGTATATATATATTTATATATGTGCGTATGCATCCACATGCATTCCTCTGCGGGGCCAGGAGCAAGGGGATATGAATTGATTCTTAGAATATCTAGGGATTTTTAATCATTCCTGGAGTCCATCTGCCTCCTTATGAAAATGGCAATCTTAATGCCAGATTAGACAGAAAAGTGTCTTTCCTCTACCTAACAGTTTAATCTAGACAATGCAATTTACAGAGTGGCCAGATGCAGCTCTGCCCTCAGAAAATAGGTCCTTTGAATGTTTATTTGCTGCAGCGGAAACACTTGTCATGTGCTTGAGCTCGTTAAGGAGCCTATGAAACAGATCAAACTTTTAGCCTGAACTTCCCATGCTCCCCTCTCCACATCTGACCTTGGTGCTGACCCCCATACCCTCTGTTCTTCAGTTTTGGCTTGAAGAAGGAAGATTTTCTGGCACAAGCAAAATACTTCACTTCTTTCTGACACACACCAAAAAAAGGTTACTTCATTCCTGGAATAGCGCTGAACAGCATGACTTGAGAGGCACTTTCTTCGGGACAGAAAAGGCTGATTTCAAACCATTTGCAATATTCAGAAGAGTAAAGTGGGACTCAGTACCAAAGTTACTTCAATCTGTGGTCAGTAGAGCAGCTTTTACATGGGAAGGTGTAGGAGAAAGACGTGCAACCTGCATGCATAGCAAATTAAAGTAGCAACTACGTGATAATGGACAACTGGCACAAGCAAAAGGGTTTGGAAATAAGCAGGAGATCAGAAAGAAAGGAAAAGGATATCATGAAGTTCTGCAGTGAAGATGGAAGAAAACAATTCATAATAATAGTACCTGAGAAGATACCATCTCTGTGTAGCTGCTGAGAGTGTCCTCTGAAAACTTAGCAAGCTGCAGCAAGAGAAGAGACCAGTTACTATAATTGTGCTCAGAAACGTGGCATGAGGAACATCCCTCCCTAAATATCGTGCCTTCCAGAGAGAAGAAAGCATGAGTCCTGCTCTGTGGGAACTGCTGTGCTGGGACAGACCAGCATAATCCATCAAAGCAAAGGACTATGTCATTATCTATTTGTGAAGCACAAGCAAAGTGCTTGGCACCGTACATCACAGACCGAAGACACAATCCTCACCTAAATGTCTAGAGATAAAATAATAGCTATTAGACCAGGAGTAGGCTCTTTCCAAATGGTTATTTTAAGACAGAAAGGGCCAGTATTGCCTGATCCGGATTTAAGATATATGTGTCAGTTAAAGAAGGGAGCTTAAAGAGAAGGGCTGGAAAAGTGGGTAACTGGAACACAATGGATACAGAGGAATGAGGTGATGTGAATGGGCTATGATTAGGAAATGAATATAAATGATTTACAGCAGGGCACTACCCCAGGGCTCTTGGAATTACAGTGAGAAATTTACTAACTCAAAAATTGTGCATCCAGCACAAAGGAATTCCATAGTAGATGCAATTCTGAGACTTAGTTTAAATTTAAGTCGTTTCTTAGGAATAAGTGAACATGGTAATTACCTGTGTATGAAACAAAACAATACCGCAAATAATAATGCACCGCTATGGCACTTTAGGATCGGTTTAACAAAACTGAAAGAAGTCAAGACAAATCTGATAGAAATAATTTAAACGGAAAACTGTCAAGGATAATTGGGAACTTATTAACAATATTTTATTAAATTTTTAAAAGGCCATAATTCCATAGTAAAAATAAAAAAGTCTAGTTTTGAGTGGAAGTGAAAATAGAAATAAAAATCAACATAAAAATAAGAAAAAGTATACCAGTGGCTAATTAACGCCAGTCCACTGCTTGATGAAGATAGTGAAATTGTAAATGATATTGCAGGCAAGGCAGACATGTTAAATAAATATTGCTATTCCATAGTCAGTGATATACCATGTGATAACTATGAAATATTTTCCATTCTAGCACTAGCTACTGAAACTAAATATTTTTAAATCAGCAGGTCTAGACAACTTTCTGGCTGTTATTACTGATTTTGAACAAGGCTTGAAGCACGGGTTAAGTCCCAGTGCACTGGAAGAAAGTTAACGTTGTACCAATGCCTAAAAAGGATAAGGAGAACAAACCAAGTTACTGTAGGACCCCAGACAGACTTAGATTTCAGACAGAATAACAGAGCAGCTGATATGAGACTCAATTAAAAGAACAGAAGTAGAATAATATAACCAGCGCCAAACAACACAAGTATACGAGTAATAAATCTTGACAAACTATTGTGATACCATTTTTGACAAAATTACAAATTAGACTGATAAAAGTAACGGTTTTGATGTATAACACTTGGTACTTTGACTTGGAACAAAATGCTCTATTGATTTCCTAACAAAAAATAGAGTAATACAAGAACAATAGGGCCCATATTAAAAAGATTAAAAATTGGCTATCTGCAAATGGGATAGAAACTGAGGAATCACTTTTGATATGTTACGAGCTCAAGCAGAAAACAAAATCATTATTGAAACAGATTGTACACTGTACAAAGATTGGGGGCAGTGTCACATAATAAAGCGGACAGATCACTGCTGCAGAACAATATGGATTGTGGTAAACGAGCAAAAACCAGGCCCAAATGTAAGGTTGCCTCATAGGAGCAAAGATGAGGGTTGGGTTTTCGGGATGAGGACTCTGTCTTAGAAAGCAGTAATTCTGGTGAGGACTTGGAGGCCACTGTAGACAATCAGCTGAACAAAGCCTGGTCATTTAAAACAATGGCTAAAAGATCTATGTGATCCTTTGTTGCATTAATAGGGGATCATGGAGTAGAAAGTCCAAATTATTCTGAAATTAGCACAAGCACACTGTTACTGGAATATTTTGTCTTTTTTGGAGACTCATAATTCTACAATGATCCTGAAACACTGCAGAAAGCTCAGAGGAAAGCCAAGAGAAAGATTAGAGGACTGGAAAATCTGCTTATAGTGACTCAGGGTGCTTAAACTGTTTACTTTATCAAAGAGACTGTAAAAGGGAATGTAAGTAGCTACCCACAGACCAGAAATTTGATTGAGGTGCTCTTAAATCTAGGAGATAAAGGACGTAAAAAGATCTAAGGTTGGAAATCAGATACAATTTACGCTAAAATAGAGTGTACATTTTTAATAGTGAAGGTAAATAATTACTGAAGCAACCTATCAAAGGCAGTAGTGAACATCTTCAAACAAACATCAAATTCCTCTCTAAAAGGAATGCTGCTGTATTCCAATCAGAGATATGGAACTTGAGGCAGGGGCTTCTTTGGGGGCCACTGGTTTGTATCATGCAGGATGTCTGACTGATCAGCCACAAGGGTCTCTTATGGCCTTAAAAATCTGGCAATCAACAGCTTGAACATGATGGGAGGGGGCAGAAGGAGGAAAGGAGCGTCACATAGGCCAAGTGATTGGAGAGGAAGAGGATCTTACCTGCTACATTCAGAACGGAGTAGAGGGAAGGAAGATGTGAAATAGAGAGGCCAAGAGAAGACTGCCCTAGTCAGAGGAAGAAAGACCAAAGCACATCACAACAGTGGTTCTGCAGGGACAAGGAGGAAGGATCATGTCTGAGATGTCGCAGAGAATGAGCTGGCTGGACAGGGTGAGTTGCCTGAACATACATGGAGAGAAAGGAGAAGACAGGAAAGAACAAAAGGGAGGTACAAGTGTGAGTGACAAGGCAAATGGAGATGTTGAGAATGATGAAGCAGAGAAGCTAAACAGTTCTGTTTTTTCCTTTCCAAAGAGCAAGATGTGAGGAGGAAGAAGGTTTCAGGGACAGAAATCAAGTGATGTTGAGAATAGGTGGGAAGGCAAAGAGGAAAAACCACTGAAAAGAGATGGTGAAGGGGCAAAGAGATGTCACTGAGGGAGGTAACATCTGTCCTCCCTCCCAGCAGGACAACGGTAACTCAGGGAAAGCTATGTGCAACCTACAGGGAAAAGAATATAAAACATAGACCCAGGGCCACAGAGGTCAAGGAAGGACAAAAAGGAGCGAGAAATTGAGTCCAAGCACAGGGATAATAGAAGTCAGCAGAGAAGACAAACATACCACGGTGCACCTCACCTCTGCACTGGGAAAGAACAAGAGACTTCTAACACCTGCCAGTGGAGTCACTCCGAGATCACACACCCATCAGGCTTCCAACCTCCACCCCTCAAACCACCACAACAATCAGAAATTCTTCTCACTCCCTGACCCACTGCAAAGGCCATGCCTGCAAGCCAAGCCTCAGAACTCAGGAAAGGGCAGCGCAGCCCACAGGTCGTAACAGAGGACTGCAGAGGATCTCATGTAACCCATTCCTTCTCAGTGGCTAAATGCTCCCTAGTTATAGCCACTACATGGAATTTACCTCCATACAGAGCCTTCTAAGAGATTACATTTAGCTGATAAGCACCTGCCTTGAACAGGCTTACTGAACCACTGGAGCTTCCTATTACCTTTGGGATATTTGTAGCTAGACTGGAAAACTGAAGCATCTGACCAAGAATAAGCCACACTGTGCTCCAGGAAGAGGGCCTAGGTGGAACACCCAAAGATTCAGTACATTTTTATGACTATTTGGATTCACCTGCTGAATTCACTGTGCTCACTTCACAGAGTCCTTCACAACCCCTGCCCCTTCCCTCTGCAACAGCTTGATGTGGACAGATACCTACCAGTGAGGTAGATGAGGCCTTGCTCATCTGGGCCAAGACTCTGGCTTCTCCAAAGGCCGTAGCAAGAATCCACAGGACAGGAAAGAGCAACGGAAGGATGGGCAGGACACCATTCACCTGAAAAACCATTCTCGATCACCAGCAAGCACAGGGACAACAGGGAGTCAGGTCTGTCACATGACCTCTGTTCCACCACAGTGAGAGGATGGGTAAAAGGCAATGGCAGGAAGGAAGCAGACAGCTTGCAAAATACTGAAAACTGAGACACGGAGAAGCACAGAAGGGGAGAAAGACACACACCCTTAAGGGATTGTAACGAAG